TTTACAAGTTTTTCAACCGGGGTATTCCAAATTATTTTCGCCCTAATTTCCACAACACACAATTTGTAACCAACCATGGTAATTTCGGGAGTTTTCTGGAAAGAATCCGCGCATCGGAGGATCCGGGCTGTTTTTGTGGATGCCGTATTCAAGATTCTACTCACCTTTTACTTAAGTGCCCAGCATTTCAAGACTACAGACTCAATAACGGTATTCTCTGTACCGATCCAAGAGAACTGATATCCAGCAGGGATTCATACATTGTATTCAATAGATTTTGTAAATTTATATCAAAGTTTTTAAATAATCTCATGTGTTAGGTATAATTAACTATGTGCTGTATATATGATTTTTTTTTTCCTTTTTTCTTTATTTTGAGGTGTGTTTAAATTAAATTACCTATGTATATAGTATGCTTGTTTGAAACCAATTTCAAGAATATGGAAAATGCCTTGAGCATATATTTTTGGATATATAAATAGATTCTCCCTCTCTCTCTCTTGTATTGCTTTCCTTTGGGCGCCAGTGTCCTTGGCGGGACATCGCGCTTTGTATTTACACAGTTGAATAAAGTTGAATATATTTACCATATTTTACCTTATTCTTGTATATATTTCATTTTCCATTGTATCTTCCAATCACAATAACTACAGGTTAAGAAAGTGTAATATTTGAAAGCTCCCCCAATGAATTTATATATTTTTTCAACTTTCGGTAAAACATTTTTATTAAATTTATGTCAGCTTACAAATTAAATTACAATACTATAGTACATGTTCTATAACTATAGTATATACACATTAGTATTAAAGTATAGTACTATATTACTGTACAGTAGAGCCTCCATGAGAAGACACCTTTCTATAAAGGACAGTTTTAATTTTCAAATTTTCCCATTTTTACAATTCAGCAACTCTCCGGTAAGAGGACAATTCTACATAAAGAACACTTCAACTCTGCAATTAGTTGTCCTTTACAGGGAGGTTCTATTGTACTATACTATTTAAACACTATATACTCGCATAATTTAAGGAAAAGACATTAAGGTATAAGTAAGAAGGAAATGCATTCTTGGATGTCTTCCCCCAAATAACGTGATGAAAGATACTATAGTTATTTGAATACTATATACGTGTTTGTGTGTAGCACACTACCTACAATAAACCAAACGGCACGATAAGAAAGTCTTAAGCATATGAACTTCGATAAAAAAAAGCAGAGAGTATCAATAATGTAGGTTGGATTATGATTAATTAGAAATATAGACTCGTCTCAACTTTCAAGAAGGCTTATTACATAACGTTTCAGCTATCTCCTGTCGTCTATTTCAAGGTGGAAAGCTTAACGCGAAATCTGACAGAAAGTCAAAGTGACATCTACAATACCATAAATATTTTCCTATATTATATATACACATCCATAACTTTATTAAGACCACCAATCTTATACAGATTCACCACAGGAAGGAAGAATAGATGGAGTTCCTCTACTCCAGGCAGCACAGCACCCAACAACATCCTCCAGGTCCGACACATGTCCAGTGGCCATACGTTCCTTCGTGCATAGGTTAGCGTATCACTGAAAAGGCGAGTGTGGAATCAACCGCGTTCTAGTCTTCGCTTTCCTCATCCAAATGGACCACGACATTCAGTGATTCTATTAATCTCCTCCGAACGGTTAGACTACGGTCTTGTAGAATTTATATAAATTTGTATACGTCGAGGTATAGAGCAAGAGTTTATAGTAAGGCCAATGATGCTGTATTTTTTCTTCTATTTAATTATATTTTATCAATAACTAAACGTTCCAGTAAAAATATCATCACCACATATCAATTTCGGAAGATAATTGCTCGATGCAAATATTCATATGCAATTATACTGTCCTAAAATATTATGTCCATAGTTTGCTAAAAAAAACATCATACCTAAATTTCCATCTTTCATTGTTGAATACATAGGTAGAATCGTTCAATAAAGTATTAGATCCCTATAAAGCGGTCTGGTGGATTAGAGTGTGCAAAACCGCAGGGGTGTTCCCCTCTGATGAGCCAAGCCCTCTCACTTTCTCATGGCAGTTAAAAGAGTAGAGAATATGTTTTGTTTGTAAAATAAATTTTCGTCTTCTTAGTAGTTAATTTTTCTACAAATAGATATCGCTTTATTGCCTTTTAATTAATTTATGCTTAACTGGCATTGTCCTTATTGTTGGCAGAAGAGCATTATTTGATGCAAATATTTATATGTAATTTTACTGTTCCAAACACTAATGTGATAGATTATATAAAAGGGCGTACCTTTCTGTAAAGAAAAAAAAACAAATTTTTCTTAAAATATTTAGAGAGATTGCTCCCTCTTATCAATTTATTGCACTAAATATTTTAAGAAAAATTTGTTTTTTTTTCTTTACAGATCCAGGTACGCTCTTTTATATTATCTTAATTAATGGATCGCCTTTTGACTCAAATTAATGCAATAATTTGCTAAAAATATTATTCCCAAGATCGCATTCTTCAATGCAGAGTTTAAAAGTAAAATATTTCGTAAAAAGTGTTAGAACTCTAAGAAACCGTCCTTTGTATTAAATTGGAGAAAACGCTAAGATGGTTCACCATTGAGAAGATAAGCCCTTTTACTTTTTCATCGTATTTATATAAAAAAAATTGACACTTCGGCCAGTTGGAGTTTTTTATTTTCTCAACGTTTCGACAAAAATATTTTGTCTTCGTCAGGAGAAGTAAATAAAAATAAAGCATTTGGCAAGGCGTTAAAAATTGTTCTGAGGTTTGCAAGGGCGTTCTCACGTGATTTTTCGAATTTAGTACAACATCTAAAGCACGAGTCAAAAACAAATATTAAACTCGTCAAAGACTTATGATCATGGAAATAAAAATATATAATAATAAAATTATAATAAATTAAGTAAAAATAAATAAATAAAGTAATATAATAATAATAATTACAAAGATTATTATATAGATTTCTCTAACTATTATGTCCAATATTTTATCTAGCTTATTAACTACTTTTTAAATTCATCGTAGTAAGGACAATAGAAAGTTTGTGTTATTTGTAATACAAACATTCGTGTGATTAATAGTTGCATTTATAATCTACTAGCCGAATGACCCGGGCAACGCCCGTGTTTTACCCGATTGAATGTTTTGATTGGCGCCTTAAATAAATGCATATATTAGTTAATAACTATAGCCTATGTGCTTTATCTGTCTATGTACTGTTGGCTTCCGTAGGCGTCTCATACTGGGAAAAAGAAAGAGAGGATTCCATTTAGTTATTAACTAATATATGCATTTATTTAAAGAGCGACCCGCTCCAAAACAATAGTTACAAAAACGAAAGAGCGAGTGGAGAAGGCATGATGGGGGGGGGGGGGGGGGGGGGGCAAAGGTGGCGTGACCGTAGTCAACCAATAGGAGGGCGCCATTCCAAAAAAAAAAGCAAACGGTGACAGAGACGACTGATGAGGAATGACGCTCGTACCTGTATATAGAATAAATATCACGTTTCGTGTTCAATAGTTCAATTTTTAATATATAGATAACACAATTCTTATATTCAAATATATATCGTTATAAAAAAAACAACACTATGTGGCTATAAGTATAATAGTCCGTTTCGATATACAAAAGTTTCATTTTATTTGTGCATTCAGCTTTGTCACGATGTCAAATAAACGGAGCCAACCATTTTTTTCTATTTAAATTTGCTGTTAGGATCTTTGGCGAGAGAGACAAAATTCCGAAGTCATCATGAAGATGATGATAATAGATATTTTAAATTCACAGAAGTCCCTTTGTTTTTTCTAAAGGCGCTTCCATTAAAATTTTCATTGTCAGCATTTCAGCAGTTTCATCTCTTTTTTTGTTGTTTCCAGCTTGGAAAATTGCCAGATTTCCCCAAGAGAGAACCCTGCTTTTAAATTTATATTTTTCTTCATTTTCACCTCTTTGTTTTACAAGAAAAGAAACAAAACGTTACCAAGAAATTGATTATCTTGGTTATTTTTGGGAAGAATATTTAGTTCGTTCTTTTGTCGAAACTTTATCTTTTAGGGTTTTATAGAGGTTTAGTTACAGTTTACTATATCTATGAGATAGCTTAGTGTGATTGTCACTGAATCGATCTGGATGACTATAAACTTTAAAAGTCGCATAAAAGTTGGTGGACGAGTGGGTAACACCCTCGATTCCCGACAGTCATGAACCGTGTTTTAATCCCGCGTTAGCCTTTTGTTTAATATGTGAACTTCACATACTATTCATTGTTGTAAATATCATAAAATAGGTTGCTCATGTTGAGCGATACCTAATGAATTGATTTTGGAATAAACTTTAAAAAAGAACGATGAGGATTAATATTGAAATTTATTTTAATTTTCAATCAGTTTCAATGAGAAAGAGATTAATTGAAACATACTTAATTGACTTCTAGTGACAAGAAAACAAAGTTACAATAAAATTACAGTTATAAACAATAGAATTTATAAATATTGTCGCGTTGCAAAATAGACGCAAAGAGAGGTAAACACGAACGGACAATGAAAGAGAGATTGGTTTAAACATACTTAATTGACTTCTAGTCAACAGAAAAACAAAGTTCCAATAAAATTACAGTTATAAACAATAGAATTTAAAAATATTGTCGCGTTGCACAATAGACCTGAGGATAGGTAAACACGAACGGACTTTATTCTCTGTAACCACGGTCTACCATAAAATTGTATCTACGCGCATTTATATAGCTATTGAATTATTCAAAACTATGTAAATAAATAAAATATAAAGTTTTCAAATAAATTAACCACATTACAATATATACAATATATTTATAAAACGACATTTGAAATATATCCCGGATGTGTTTCTTTTCAACGAAAAATCAAAATGTATTTCAAGGAGAAATAACGATTATTTATAACCTTTGGGATGAAGTATGAAAGGATAAATTGTGAAGAGTAATGATAAACGGAAAAATAAAAGTGTCCAGGGATGGGAGTCGAACCCACAGTGTTCCAATGTGCTTACCGGGCAGATGCCATGTCCACTAGGCTACCCTGGACATATTTTCCGTTCGTAAATAATACATAAAGTAATTTATAATAGTATATATATTTATTTATATCAAGCTCGAAGCCTTCTCAGAAGGGACGTCAAGATTAAATCAAGCCCGGCCTGAGTTTGGTCTTTGGTTATAATAGAGTTTTTATTACCAACATGTTCAATTGCCATGTTGAGGAATTTGCAGAGAATGGTCTTGTTTCCTGGAGAGAGCTGCTTGGAGAGTACCTCCCTCACATGGAAGAGAGAGATATTAATAATAAAATAATAATAATATAAAAATAGTTATTATAGCAGCTTTACATACCCAAGATAGTGGACATTGCTGCTGCTTTGATAGAGATGCATGGAAACATCTGAGGCTCTTTTTTGGACACGAAAACCACGACAACAATGCAGTATACACACCCAAGATAGTGGACATTGCTGCTGCTGTGATAGAGATGCATGGAGACATCTGAGGATCTTCATTGGACACGACAACAATACAGTATACACATCCAAGATAGTGGACATTGCTGCTGCTGTGATAGAGATGCATGGAGACATCTGAGGCTCTTCATTGGACACGACAACAATACAGTATACACACCCAAGATAGTGGACATTGCTGCTGCTGTGATAAAGATGCATGGAGACATCTGAGGCTCTTCATTGGACACGACAACAATACAGTATACACACCCAAGATAGTGGACATTGCTGCTGCTGTGATAGAGATATATGGGGACATCTGAGGCTCTTCATTGGACACGACAACAACAACAATACAGTATACACACTCAAGATAGTGGACATTGCGACTGCTGTGATAGAGATGTATGGAGACATCTGAGGCTCTTCATTGGACACGACAACAACAACAATACAGTATAAACACCCAAGATAATGGAAATTGCTGCTGCTGTGATAGAGATGCATGGAGATATCTGAGGCTCTTCTTTGGACACGAAAAAAAAAACAGTGTATGTCCATTATTTCCTTGAAAACCATAATAAAGATTCTAACCTTCAATGTATAGCATATATAACTAGAATCGTCCAATACAGTATTGGAACTCTAAGAAGCGGTCTGATAGATTATATTTACGAAACTGCTAGGAGGGTTCACTGCTGATAAGTCAAGCTCTCTCAATATTTTTTCATCGCAGTAAGGACAGTAGAAGTTTATTTTACGTGTAAAATACGATTTTGTGTTTTAATGTTTTAAAATTTCTTATATATAAGTGGACATGGCATCTGCCCGGTAAGCGGAACAATGTGGGTTCGATTCCTTTCCCTGGACACTTTTATTTTTCCGTTTATCATTACTCTTCACAATTCATCCTTTCATACCTCATCTCTAAAGTTAGAAATAATCGTTATTTCTCCTTAAAAATAAATTTCGATTTTTCGTTGAGAAGAAACACATGCGGGATGATTTTTAAATGTCGTTTTACAATAACAAACCGCATTATATTATATTGTATAATATATATATATATTATATATATTGTCAGGAGGACAGAGTTTCCTGGTATTTTCTCTTATCTGGACTGGACCGACCGGTCGGGGAAAACAGTGGCGCCACGTGGAAGGAGGAAAAACTCAGTTCTCCCCTCTTGTTCTAACTGCTGGGTCGATTTGGCTCATGTACATAGTAACTTTTATCTTATATTTAAAATCTCTCATATAACTAATTAAATGATTCTTTAAAGTAATTCGGAAGCCTATTTGATTATTTATCATTTCGACAATATAGAGACATCTACTGATCGATTGCCCGGCATTTCAAGATTATAGAATGAAGAATGAACTAGTTGTTTGTGAACTTAACGATTTGATTTCCGATAAAAAAAAATCATATTTAAAGTTCAATTCATTTTGTAAACACATTCTAAACTTTCTAGAATATCTGGATCTCTAATGTTTTCATGCGTTGAATAATGTAAATAACTTATGTAAATAAACTTTTCTCCTTGTTTGGCGCAAGTATCCCTTGCGGGATATAGCGCTTTGGAAATAAAATAATTGATAATTAATATATAGAGAAAATTGTTACTTATTTACATATAATCATCCTAAGAGTGTCTCCCACCTATAAGAGTTCTCCTTCAGTTAGGGTGCATTCATGAATATCCAGATTTAAGAAATATTTGAATATGTACGTCTAAGCATAGATCAGGATGTCAGAGCGTTGTTATCAGAGCCTAGCCCTATGCAGCTAAAATGACAAGCTCTCAAGCGTTAGCTTATTATCAGGCCAATTGTTTCGCAAATACTTACAATGTATTACGATGCACTAGCGCGCCATCTGTTATCAAATTACGAAACTATTTAAGACGCGTAATATTCTTTTTAAAATAAAACAATTTCTACTGTCCTTACTGCAATGGAAAAATTAAAGGGAGGGCCTGGCTCATCAGTGGTGACCCTCCCAGCGGTTTCGCCAGTTTAATCTACCATACCGCTGTTATATTGCATTTTTGGAACTTCCTTTTATAGTGATACTGATGCTTGACTCTTCGAATGGGTATTTTAGATGAACTATGGACATAAGCTTTTAGGACAGCAGAATTACATATAAATATAAATATATAAAATGTATATAGAGGTGTAAAAATAATTTACATATTTTAAAAAAAATAATTCTACAGCTCTTTATGTTCTGTTGGTATTTACAAAAATATTGGTCTGGTGATCAGCTAAGACTTGAAACCTTGTCATTTCAACTTGATAAAGAACATCTTACAATTATCTTGAATGGAATGAAGGTTGAAAATGGAACACCAAGAATAAGTAGACAGAAAATTATAAAAATTTCAGGGTAGACGCGTTTCACCGAGGTATGTAAATGATGTAAAATGCGCAGCTCTCGTGCGTACGGGGAGTAAAATATAAAGGAAGGAACTTACAGAAAGGACAGTATTAGTGCCGTTATTTCTTCAAGGAAAATCACCGAAAAAATGTTGTTCTTGTTTCAAAAGACACGTGTAATAGCAGACAATGTCAGGCCGTCTTCCCGATTTACCCATTTTACCCGATTTACATATTGATCTTCAACTTTCGAGATTATTTTAAGAATATTTAGTTACCCTTTACATCACACTGATTGGCTAATGAACTTAACTCTGAATACGGTCACGTGACAGTTACCATTCAATCAGAAAACGAATGAACATTGAAGGGTCCACACAAAATATTTAATAATTTTGAGTTTTTATAAAATCTAGAGTATTAGAAGTTTTTTATCAAGCAGTTGTAACATTTCAAAAAAATGTTATAAACACCGTTACGCTCTAATCTCAATTATCTACAAAACTTCTTTCTAAAACTTCATATACCTAAATTCAAGAATATCTTCTATTTTTTCGATTTTTTCAAACTTTTCGTTTCCATATTTTTTATTCGAGCAATTTTATTGGTAAAAATGTAAGGCTACATGTCTTATCAACCTGTTTTACCGCAGGAAAACAGGAAAAAACTTCGCAGACGAAGATAAGTTCGAACACCAAACTTTGGATTATCCCATAAAAGTGTTATCTTTAAGCAACCGTTCGAAAATGGAAAAATTTAAAATGAGTTTTTCTCCAAAAGTTATATTTCTCAGGGATAAAATTTATATATATTTGTAAATATATATATTCACAAATATGTATATATATTTAATTCTCTCTATGTATATTTATATATATATATATATTTTTTTTTTAAGATAAAGATAGCATATCCATTTCATATATATATATATATTGTTTTGAATTATATTTAACAAATTTCTTACACACAATAGGTTCTCGAAATATTGCTAACTTTCTTTGAATCTACGTAAATTTTTCATTTTAACTAATATTGGAAATAAAAAAAATATATATATTATTTTGAAAATTTATATATTTTGGTGTGAGAATTTTTGAAATTTATGATTGATATATGTATTAAAATAAAAAAGGCATATCTTTACCACTTTCACATGAACCTTTTTTTTTTCACATAATATATGTATATTGTAGCGAAGCGTTTTTTTAATTTTTATTATCAAAGTATTATTTTTTTATGTTTTTATTTTGCTACTCTGTAATCTTTCCTCATTCCTTATCTTTTGTTTATCATTCATAGTTTGTTCTTGCCTGAAATAAATTGCTGTCTCATCCCGAAGTTTGTCTTCCCTAATTTTCCACGTGGCATTTTGGTGGAGATGCTGGGTAAATTAGGGAAGACAAAACTGAAGATCGCCGAGAAGACTTTGAAGCCATTGGTGCTGTGATCTACATTTTCCGAGACTGGCTCCAGGATTTCACCGCCGTGTCAAAGCCAAGACTTCGTTCCAAGATGACGATGTCCCTATAGACGATACGATGACAAAGACGATCTTCACGCTGCGAGAAAAAAAAGACACAAAGGTACTAAGGACAAAGTTCCAAGACTTCGATGGAACCCTTGGCAGAAGCACGTCATATCCATGTCAGTACCTACAATAATTGTAAGCTGTGGGTCACAGCTCCCATAGGGAAAGAGCTATGTAGCGAAGTGTTTTTTAATTTTTATTATCAGAGTATTATTTTTTTATGTTTTTATTTTGCCACTCTGTAATTTTCTCACATTGCTTATCTTTTGTTTATCACTCATAGTTTGTCCTTGCCTGAAATAAATTGTTGTCTCATCCCGAAGTTGGTCTTCTCTAATTTTCCACGTGGCAGTATACGTAGCCTTTGGGCTATTCTCTTTTTGTATACCGTATAGTATGTACCTGTGTATGTTTTACTTTATATAGTATATAATACATATATATAAATTAATAATTGTAATGTGATAATAATGTGATTGTAATGTAATATTTGTTATGTGATTATAATCTTCAAACATTAAAATTATATTTCTCATATATATTTAGTAAACCTACTTCTTATTATAATACATTAGCGTGCCATCTATTATGAAAATTCGAAACTATTATAGACGCGTAAGATTCTTTTAAAAATTAAGCAATTTCTACTGCCCTTACTCTAATGGAATATTAATG